GTGAAATACATGACTGCAGTGTCCTCAACTGGGATACTCCAGGGAGGCCACCAATTCACAATGAGTTTTTTTGTTTGTCCGAAAATTCTAATTAACACAAATCAATGTAGACACCATTGATGATGATAAACTAACCACGAATGCTTGTCCAACCTACACTACATCACAATGAAACATACTGGCCAGCGAACTGTGCTATTATCCAAAATGTTCAGACATTCTTGTGAGTCACAATAAATAGATTTTTATTGTTATTATTATTTAAACAGAACTTTCTTTTGTCTCAAATGAAAGAAAGACATGAATGCAGTTTCCACTCATTGTGCAGCATATTTAGCCAACTTGACGGAAGAAAGATCAACTCATCCAACTACACACTGATAGTACACATAGAAGCATGTATGAAACAAGACCACTCATCCACTTCTGAAATTCTTTCAGGTAGACTTATGACAATTAATAGGAAATGTAATGAAAAGAATTTTGCAGCAATGTATTTTTAAAAAAATACAGGTCAAGCATGGATGTGATCGTCTGCCTACCAACCTTCATCTGCCCTGGGAGAGACAATCTATCATTAGGGTCAGACCTCTCAATAAGAAGTTACACATTGCATTGTTAGTTATTCTTCATGTTAATATAGTCCTGGTTTAACATACAACACAATTTGATATAATGTATTTAGTAGGGGTTCGTGTTCCATCTCAGCTAAGGGAACGTTGGCCTGAAGGCTCCTGACTGTTATATTTGTATGAGGAATAGACCTATCATTGGTCTGGCCGATATTTGGCATATCAACCAATTATCACTAAACTAAATGCACTACTTAGGGTCTGATGCAACTGGATCTCTGTCTGTAGTCACTGTGGGGTCTTTCTCGCACAGACACAACTCAAAATCTGAACAAGAAACACGAACCTTTCCCTCAAACCATGAAATTTATTGGTTTCACAGTGGTTAAGGTTACACTGGCGGGTGGGCTAGGAGCAGTGGCGGCTGGTGAAAATTTTTGGTGGGGGGGGGGCGCAGTCTGCAAATGACCTTTTATTTAAAATCAGAAATTAGAATATGAGTAACATCAGGCACAACCATTTACAGGAATGCAAATTGTCTACTTTTGGAGGATATTCTAATCATAATATAACTTAATCAAGAATTACCAGAACTAAATTTCAAAATCATTCATCAAACTTTCAGCAATATTTACAGGATCTGTAAAAACACACAACATAAATAATGGGGAAACAAACACTATTCAGTGCTCCAGACTGACTTTTTCTCTGGTAGTACCAGTACGACCCACTTCCTCATTCTGTTGCACCTCCCACCTGCTCAAAGGTAAAACATAAACATTTTCTTATCGATAGACGCCACGATTTACTGATGTTCCCTAAACGCCCCACACAGCAGGCTGTGCTAGCGGCTGTTTGGTGGCTGTGGTGTGCCCTGACCGGTGTGCGACCAAAAATGACTTTAAAAAAATAATAAACTGGGGCGTTGTCACGACAGATTTGTGCGAGGTTGAACCCAGTTACATGAATTCTACACGTGCTCTTGTCTACGAGCCGTCTTTTCTCAACTGACAGCAGCCCAATGCATTAGTCACAACAGTGGCTGTCATTTAGTAGAAGAGGGGAAAGGCCGTGTGACGGTGTCAGAAAGCGCAGTCGTAAGAACGTCGAAGGACAGTTTTGATATCCAACCACAGAAGACAAAAGCAAATAAAAACAAAATTAACTGGCTTACAGCAAAAGTGGGAGGGTCCAGCAAGCACCGTGAGAAAGCCTGCAGCTGCCAATCAGAGCCCGGGCCGAGGTCACATGAACACAAAAAGTTTTTTCGAGCTACATACACACTCATGTGGCCGGCGTCCCGCATCCAGGAAGTTTTCATGATTTTTGACTTATCTAAAATGTCACTTTTTTTCCCTCTTAAATCCAAAGTCCCTGAGATCGAGCTGTCCGTGTCGCTTGGCCATGGTGCTAAAATCGTAATGAAAAGGAAAAAAGAAACGCTGTCTCCACAGACTGTTTAAAACGAAGGACGTAGCTACCGGTTTCTGAACTGAGAACATGAAGCCAGGGTTTTGCTACTTCCTGGTTGACATCTTGGATTTTTGGAGCCAGTGACGCAAAAATAGTCGGAAGGGGGGCGGAGCCATAGGAGCAGCGATTGGTCAGACGGATTGAGAGGCGGGCCCTCTCTGCCCGCCCACATTTAACGCTTTCTGCTCGCTTCATCTGAATCGTCGCTGCCGACTGTCAATCAAGGCAGCCACGCCCCTTGCCCCCGCAAAATTTTGACGATTTTTTAAAATTCAGTATTGATTTACTTTGAGATTGGCCACCTGATCTCTGAATTTGACATGAAAACTAATAAGAAAAAAATCCTGAGCTGTAGAAATTGTGGTATTTCGTGATCTGTGATCACTTCTTTTCCAATTCAAGCCTATGGGAGCCAGGGCTTTTTGGAGCCAGCAGCTAGAGGACGGAGTGATATTGCAGGTTTTTGACACTTCCGGGTTGGCTTCATTTTTCAGGACCTGTTGCTATGTCCATCTTTTATACAGTCTATGGCTGTGTCACATTCACAGTTGCCTGCTCTCCCTCAGTGTGGGATTGTCAACAGAGCTGATGAAGCGCAACTTGATGGCCGAACAGTCCGTTTGAACGCATCTCCCTAAATATTGGAATAGTGGTTATATTTCCATTGTCAGAAATTCAGAATAGTTGTAATATTTCCACATTTATTGGTCAAAATGGCTGGGGATGGGATGGGAAGGGGGGATGACCGTTTGCGAGGGGGGATTATTTTTACCATTTTTGTTTCAGGGGGGATGCCATCCCCCATCATCCCCCCCTCAACTCGAGCACTGGTTGTACCTCTGCTAAACTGTAAATGGATGCATTTTTGGAAAAGAAACTGTGAAGTCAACTGTGAATCCAGCATGTCAGCAACACAGCAAAATTGATAACATTATTTCTATACATATTGTCCCTGTGTTGGTTTCTGTGTGAAATTTGCTGTGTTCTTTTTGATAATATAGACATTATATACTGTACTGAAGCTGTTGTGTTGTTGCTGTGGATAATATCTTTATTGTTTTTTCTAAGCTGTGCTGGAACGACTCATTACCTTTAGTGATTAACTAAATTACTGTTAGTCTTGTTGGCGTTACCGTGTATGTTAGGTATATACAGACTAGAGATCGACCGATATGGGTGTTTTCAGGGCCTTTACGGATTATTGGTCATCAAGAAAGAACAACAACCGATATTTTAACCTGGCATGAATTAAATGTTATTCTTTTAACAGCATTTGATAGCAAGGAACCTGTCATTAATAACTGGGCCTTTTCATTATCAAGACATCAGAACATCACAGGATGCTATGACCATTTGATTGATCATTGAGATTGAACAGTTTGTCTCTTGCAGTTCTGTCTGTTGTTCTTCTCTGTTTTCATATTCTTTCTTTGTGCTGTCACTTGTATTGCCCACTAAGGTCCATATTGTAAAGCATAATGTGCTGCTGTTTTCCTGACAATGTTTCAGGGTAATCTGTACCTGCCTCCTAACCAGTGGCAGATGGTTAATACAGGGCGGAATTCATTAAGTGTGCAATACCTCTTCCAACCACACACACCGTGCTACGCTTACCAGCCGTTACAACCCAGAGGGGCGCTGTTTCACCCATTTCACATCTCTGTACACTGCAATGCAATCCATTTGGCATTCCTGTGATCATTATAACCTACTCTTTCTTAATTATTCAAATCCCTCAATGAAAGTTTAATTTTTGCTACTCTATATACATGGACTTTAATTTCGTTTGAACACTCTGTAAGACATATTAGGTATCAAACAATTAAATTTTGCATTCATGTGATTACTTGCGCAACAATTTTGTACATTTTCTGCATCATTTTATGATTGAAATGTCTTTATTTGTGTTATATAAAACCCAAAATTCAGGCACAATGTCCTTTTCTTCTTTCATGTTTTTATTATAGAGGACAAATGCACTTGCTGAAGGGGACATTTTTTCTGCATCCCCCCTGAAATCTACAGCTATGCCCAAAAGATAGATTATTTTAATGTGGTAGCATTATGGCAAAAAAATGTCTCAAAATGCACCATTCAGCTGGGTAACTGCAATATCCTCAGCACGCAGAGATCACCTTTGTAAAACCCAAGTGTTTTGGGCTAACAAGACCAGGCTCCTATCAAAATGATTGGGGGAGAAAACCTTGACTGCAATTTCAGTGGTCACCAAGACATGAAAACTGCATGAATAAAATCACCAGTCAAACCTGATAAAAGCTGCTTCTGTTGACTTTGTCCCAAAATGAGGTTAAAAAGATTCTACGTCTACAACACAAGCACATAGTTTCATGACACTACACTTGAATCAGTGCAAAAAACACAATTTGCTTAATGATTTCCTGTTTGGTCTATTAAAGCTTTTTTGTTTGTTTGTTTTATTAATTGATTAAATAACTTTCACAATATCAAATTTAAATAAAATGTCCCCGGAAATAAATAAATGTGGCATTATGAAATAACTAAATCTGACATAATGCAGTAAAAACCCCCTGAAATAAAGAACTGTCACGTTATGAAAAAAAAGTGTCATGAAATATATAAATGTGTCAGTGAAAAATAAAAGTTATAATTATGTATATATTTATTGTCGAATTTATTTATGTCAGGATTTATTTCTTAACCATATTTGTTTATTTCATAGGAATATTCATTCATTTATGTTTTTGTTTAATATTGAATATTGAATAAAACGGCATTCTACATCCCAGACTCTTTGGTTAATATGGTAACGTATTTATAGTATTTACTGCAGTATAATTTACAGTGCTTTGCGTGATTTCCACTTGTGTTGCGCTTGTCAATCTTTTGTGCTTTTATTTTGAAGGTCATACCAGGGAGTTTATTTTGACAGGCTCGCTGTGAGCCAATCACAGCGCAGAACAGTCTTTCCCACAGCCACGCGACAGCTCTCCTGTTTGATTACAGACGTCGGAGGAGTTTCGAGTCGTCGCTTCTTTCTGCGGTTTACATTGAAGTAAGGAATAAATGCGACTTTACTTTGTATTTCGTGTCGCTTGTTCCGCCGTGTTTATATATTCTGCTTGTTTTTGTTAGCTTCAGCTCACTGAAGTCGAGTTGAGCCGGTTTAAATGGTAGCTAAGCTAACGGTACCGTTATCTAACATTAGCAGCAGAGGGAGGAGAGATGAAGAGGAGAGTTACGCCGACACTTACTTTACCTGCCAATCTGTAAATGAGGTTATCTTTGCGTTGCACATGAACAGATAACAACGAGCTAATTATCAATCATCTGGAGGCTGTTTGAACAATCATATCGATCATAAACAAGTAAAGAACCTCACATTAACTATGGTTTTAGACACATTTAATACACTTTTTCCAATTCTGAATGCACAGCAGCTATAGCAGAATCTGTACCAGCTGTGGGAATTGGCTCATTGTTCATTCATTGAAAGCAGAATCGATGATCCGTGTAGATAGAAAACCTCAACACTTCTTATTTTAATTGTGTCCTAAGAAATGGCCACAATAAAGGCATCACAATACAGTGCAAGGCCTGAATTAATATCTACCTTCTTATATTTAGTTACTGAGCTTGTCTGAGTAGTCACTAACTCAGTTGGATTAACACATATGCATGTTATTTTGTCTATTTTAAGCAACAGTTTCCTTTCCCAGTTTAACTTTATACTACTAGTATCTATTGCAAGTCTACTACATGGTATTATGCAGTAATTGTACTGTTCAAGGTTGGTGTTTCGGATCTTCCAGATTAACCTGACTGTCCCCTCTAAGCTGAAGGGTGGTCTGGAATATAAATGAAGGAGTCTATACTTAGACCAAGTCAGCAGCAGGCTGTACGGAGCTAATCTGAGATAGGTGTGGGGGTTAGGCAAGACTTAAGGTATGTTTATTTTTACAGTTTCAAGCTAATAAATACATGGCCTGTACTTTTAAACTTCTGAACTACATTGGAGACGGTGGAGCAAAACAGAAATGATCAGACATAGAAACGCAGTGTATAGCATGTCTATAGAAGTGAGGAAGGTACACACTGTTCTGTACATAGGGGTAGCATCTAGAATGACACCCTTATGCATTAGAATCAGTTTGCCCTTGACCACACAAATGTGCTTCGTAATAGTAATTCAACCTATCTGTTGTGTGCCAAGGTTGTGGACGCACAGAGTATTTTATTTTAATGATCTGTGCCTTTTTTTATAGGAGGTTTTACGATGCTGAGAGGTGCACTAAAAACTGTTGGGAGCAGATCCCAGTGCGGTGTGGAGCAACTGATCTCTGCGCTACGCGGAGTCAGCTCATCCTCACAACAGTTATCTGGTTCTGGGAGAACTCATGCTTCATCCTGCACTGATGGGGACCCCCCCAAAATCCTCATCACAGGTGGGTTTTTTCACTGATTAGCATTTATTCTCTGTATTTGTTTCCTTATTGTATAATTTTGGTCAGAAACTCTTACAATGACACTTCATCTCAGTTGTTTCCTCCTTTATCTTTGTAGGAGGGCTGGGACAGTTAGGGGTGGGGCTTGCCTCGTTGTTGAGGTAAGGAGCTTGCATAACTTCTTATTTCAAGTCTTTACCTGTGTTTTTTTTTCATTTGTGTTCAGTTGCAAATTATAGCACAGTACAGCTGCAAGAAGAACCCAGAAACAGGAGAAGGTGACACCTGCTGGGCAAAAATGATATAACCTGGGATATGTAAACAGCTCATGTGGCTGTGAAAACAGATACAACAGGTCGCACAATCTTATATCATGGACCATCTGGCCTTTCTCGTGTTTTGCTACATGCAGGATGGCGGGGTCGCTGTTGAATTCAATTCAGTTCAATTCAATTTTATTTGTATAGCGCATATTTACAACAACAAGTCATCTCATAGCGCTTAACAAAGGCAGAAACACCCAAAAATCCAAAACATTTGGATTCCCTATAAGCTACAGCAGTCTGCAACAGTGGGAAGGAACCAAAAACCCCCACGGGGGAAAAAAAAACCTCCGACAGAACCAGGCTCAGGGAGGGACGGCCATCTGCCTTGACCGGTTGGGTGGATGTGGGATGAATTATACAATTTAGTGTATGGTTAAACAAGTTATTAGAAGTTATTGTCCTTTTGTTGAAGTGGTCCTGTATGTCATTCAGCTGCTTCTCCAGTAAATAACTCATCCTGCAGATGGACTTCTCCATCTTGGGCTGCAACTAGAGCTCTTGTTGGGCTCTCCAAGAGATCCGCTGCGAGCTGCAGGGCTACTCCAACCAGAACCTGAAGCAGGTGAAGAACCAGTTTAATTGTCTAACCTCATTGAGGCCACAGAGCAAAACAAGGGTAGTGTAAAGTCCACCCAAGATGAAATAGCCTTCTTGCTGCACTCCAAGATGATGGAGTTCATCCACAGAACAAGAGACTTGGCGTAAAGGCTGCTGAATGACATGGAGGACCACCACAACAACAACCTGGCCAGTCTGTCAGGACAAAAACATGAGATGAGACAGGATAGGGCTAACTAGTTAGTGATGAAGAAAGTCATTTTCTTTTATTTTGATGGTCAAAGACCCCTGAATTCATTCCTTGTTGCCTTGTGTTTTCCCATCACCCTTTGTCATGTGTTTTCCCACCTCCTGCCAAAGACCCCCGATTCCACCCCCTGTTGTTCATTGTCCCCTTACCTCCTGCCATTTGATTAGCAAATGTATGCTATCAGAACCCCGACTCCACCACCCGTCTGGTCACCAGACTCCCATTTCATCACCTGTGATTCATTGTCCCCCCTTACCTCCGGTCATTTGATTAGCAACTGTATGTTAATTTACCTCTATTCACCTCTGTGTTTACATACAGGCCCCCCCTACCCTCTTACTTACCCTATGAATGTGTGACTCTGCAGATGTTGAGGGTCGGTCCACCTTCACAGACTCATGCTCTGTGTTGGTGAGCCCATCGTATACCGGAATACTAATAAACACCCACTACAGCAAACTTCACATGAGGACTATGAGTAAAATTTCTTCAACATTAGGTTGGACGGATCGTTGAAAAGAAGCAGCAGAGAAATGAATCAGAAAGGCAAACATTTACCCAGCTAGTCATGTAATCACAAGTTTACCTGAATCTGTAGGTAGACTTGTGATTCATGTCGTGGATTGTGAGTCTACCTCAAAAGACCTGAACAGTTAAGTCTTGTGTTTAAGGTTAATCAAACCGTTTTGCCCCCCAGGCTGACTGCACTCATCACATATGTACTGTAGACATGTTTGCTGATTACAGATCCCAGAACTGACCGTGCTGATGTTTCACCCTCAGGAGGCGATTTGGAAAAAACAATGTGATCCTGTCTGACATCCGGAAACCACCCAACCATATCTACCACAGTGGTGTGTACTTTTTTTTTAACCAGCTTTTGTGCAAAATTAATGTTGTGTACACGTAAATAAAACACTTGACAGATGTTCACCCACATCAGAAAGAGAGAAATAATCAGAGGAGGCTGAGATACCAATTTCTTCTTCATCATCAGCAGTCTCTAAAGACCAGAACACATTGAAACCTTAAGACATGTCTTTGTATTGAAGTACATCCCCTCCCTTTTGTCGTAAATCTAGGGTTCGCTTTACTCTTTAGAGTTTTATTCTCATATGAGCCAAGTAAATGCAAAACATATGACCGTTAAACTAGGCTCTCAGGGTACAAGTTTCCACAGTTGAGTGGGTCGACTCTGTTCAAATACTTTATTGTGTACATGTGTCCTCTACAGGTCCATTTATCTTCTCAGACATCCTGGACTCTAAGAACCTCAGGGAGCTCATAGTCAACAACAACATCAGCTGGCTGGTTCACTACTCGGCCGTGTTGTCGGCTGTGGGGGAGAACAACGTCGCACTGGCTAAAGAGGTCAACATCACAGGTACACGCTTTTTTAGAGCTGTGAATCCGTTGAACGCTTGTTAGCAGATTCTAAACGGATCAGCCTTTAGAGTCATATTAACACACTTAAGCACAGCCTCTCTCTCTTTATAGGTCTCCATAACATATTAGACATAGCAACCGAACATGGTCTGCGTGTGTTTGTCCCCAGCACAATCGGTGCCTTTGGTCCGTCCTCGCCCAGGGACCCCACCCCTGATCTGTGTGTGCAGAGACCACGCACCATCTACGGTGTGTCCAAGGTTCACGCAGAGCTGATGGGTGAGGTGAGACACACGCTGTATATTCACACAGACAGAATTTCAGCTTTAAAACTACCAAGCTGTGTTTCTTTCCCCGTGTTTTTAACCATTTTAACTGAAGTCCAAATAAGGAGCATTGTGAGTGTTTACCTGTCTCCCTTTCTCAGTACTACCACTACAGGTATGGGCTGGATTTCCGCTGCCTCAGGTATCCAGGCATCATCTCAGCTGACTCCCAGCCTGGAGGAGGAACCACAGGTTGGAAACAGCACATTTACAGGGCATCTCCACCTAAGCCTGTTTGGTAGACCCATGGCGAATGTCATTTCCTCCAAACATTGTTATTTGTCTTGATATTGTGGGGATGTTGTCAGGAAAAATTGCTCTAGTGGACACCCCCCTTGGATTGGATTTGCTTTTTTACATGACACCAAACCTTTACCTTGATTGTCTTTGCTCGATATCTTCCCTGCTGCCTGGCTTTGCTGACCTGTTTCTCCATTTCCCAGACTATGCCGTCCAGATTTTCCATGCAGCTGTGAAGAGTGGTCACTTCGAATGCAACCTGCGCAGTGACACACAGCTTCCTATGATGTACATTGGTAGGCCAGACTTCATTTTATGGCTGAGTTGGCATCATTTCAACACCACTCTTTATATCTTTCTCTCATCTTTACCTGTGTTCCCCCTCTCCTGTCCAGACGACTGTGTCAGGGCTACTCTGGAGTTCCTGGAGGCTCCGGCAGACACACTCGTCAGCCGCACCTACAACATCAACGCCATGAGCTTCACACCGCAGGACCTGACCCAGGAGATCCAGAAAGTCCTGCCTGACCTCAGGGTCACCTACAACGTAGATCCTGTCCGACAGGCTATAGGTGATATTACTGTGTGAACGAATGGAAGGAGCGTTGAACACACTGTAAAGAACATCATAACTAAAAGTCTCTTGTGGGTCGTTTCAGCGGACGGCTGGCCAATGGCGTTGGAGGACAGCGCGGCAAGGCGGGACTGGGGCTGGAAGCACGAGTACGACCTCCCAGAGCTGGTGCAGACCATGCTGACTCACATCACTCCAGGCAACCAGGTGGCACAAGCCAACTGAGCCTTTTGCAGGATTTCTGTAGCAACTCCATCCAGAGCTTTACTTGAAAGTGAATGTTACATTGAGCATTTTAGAGCCTTCACCATCACACTCACACATAAGTCCTAAATAAACACCAACGGGTTGATTTGACAACATCATTGAGCTATAAACTTCAGTATCTGAGGCAAAAACATTCCAGATCACTCCATGTCACATATCTGATTAGATTTGTGGCTTTGCATTCATCTCCATTTCTCACCATCCGTCCTCCTCCCTGTTTTAACTCCAGCTTGTGTGCTTCATGTGCTGCAGTCACTATAGCAACTTACTGAACATCAAGAGTTCTCTTTCTGAATGTATTATATGTATGCATATTGTGTGTTTTAAGTATGTTACCAGCCTGTTGTATGCCTTAAGTGGCACTTTTGCCATCCTCAAAAGCAGTGGGCTTTCATCAAAGCTGCACTCTAACTGAATATGTACTGTAATCAAAACAAACAGGCTTTACCGCTGCTACTGTTACTGCAGAAACTGGTAACCGTAGATAGAAGCACTGCAGGGATAGTTTTTACAGGTTGCTGCTTCACTTGACTTATGTGACTTTTTCAGAAAAGGAAAGCGAGCAGAGCTGCTGGAGGAGCTGCTTGACCTTTCCACTGGGTGTTGTTTTATTTATATTAAATTATTTCTAATGTCCATTTGGAAACCGCAGTCTCGGTTCTAAATGTTTGAGTGTTGAATCAGTTGATGATTAGCAGTTTTTTTGACTGCTAAAGAAGGATATCTGCTGTTATGTAGGTGTGTCGAATGACTTAAAGGGATATTGTATTTTAAATGTTTATTTTTAATGTAGCTTTTTTGTCAAAACTGGAGGATATTTGAAAAATAAATCCTTGAATGAAAGCAGTTCCTTTGACTTTTGTAACCACTGATTATACGTGCATGATCACAAAACTTAACATTGCTGTCTTGCTTTAAATTTCAAGCATTAGATGTCAACTCACCCAGTACAAAATGCATCCAAGGTGGCTAAACATTTGACGAACTTGAGCATCCAAACGCAACAAACGTGTGCGTCCATTTAGCTTTATTCTCTGAGGTCACACAGCATTTCCAGTGTCTTTTACTCTTGTTTTATGCTTTGCTTTTGCTGGTGTGTCTGGACGTCGGCTGGTGTGACCTGTGTTGTGGTGCCTCCCAGTGGCCAAAGCTGCGTGCTGCACTTTGAGCTGCAGGATCTCACCGAGCAGGGTGACCTCTTGGTTCAAACTTGCCTCTATCTGCTCTTTTGTGGTCCTCAGTGTTGCATGAACCACCTCCAAAATGCTCTGTGCACACAGGCACAAACAATGTCAGGATCCCAAATGCTTCCACTGGTTTCAGTTTAAATCTGTCTGTGAGTCCTACCTGTTTGTCCAGATGCTCATCTTCTGGCATGCCGGCCTTGCTGAGAGTGAACCATGATCCCTCTCGGAGACTTCTCAGCTCTTCTTCTTTCTGTTGCAGTTCTGAAGTGACTTTAGCTAGATCCTGCTGAGCCTCCCCCTCATGCAGGTCTGTGCCCTGCAGCATAAGGACAGTGGACTAATCAGCAGGGGCCACTTAAGGAAGATAAGACAAATGAGGAGATGCATTAAAACCATTGTAACACTAGCAGATAATGATCTGCATTAAATAACCCACTGGACAGCTCCTTTGTTGGCAAATTAAGCCACAAGACACATTTTTCTGTTGATGTAAATTCCCTGTGGTGATCATTAGGTGATCAAGAGTCTACAATCGTGCTGTAGTGAGTCTGTGAGGATACAAAATGCTAACATCAGCACACGAACATGTTGATGTTCAGCAGGTATGTTTATAATGCTCCCTGTCTCTGACATTTTAGCATGCTCCTATTTAAACTCAAAGCGCAGCTGAAAATACTGTGATCACCTAAGTTGAGAGAATTTAACCTGTATTTTACAACACCAGTGTGATAGATAGATAGATGATGTCAGCCACTGCTTAAAGGTTTTCTCTCACCTGTACTAGAGGACAGGGCGTTGGTGGCAGCTGCACCTCCAGGTGTAGCTGAACGATGGACACGTCAGCAGCTCCATCCACCACCGCCTGGAAAAGCCTCTGCCGGGTAAAGCAGGTGTCTGTGAGGTACTGGGTGAGCTCGTGTCGGTGCACAGGAGTAAGGTTTGGTAAACGCTCACACAGCACATCTCTCAGCATGGACAGCAGTTTGTTTCCATTGAGATCTGATGGATGGAAGAAAGTCCAGAGTCCCCAGGAGATGTTTATTAAACTTACAACCCAGCAAAATAAGATGAAGTTTGTGTTCTGTGGCTGTCAAAATGGACATAACTCCAAAACTAAAATAGTTTCCAAGCCCTAGTGTGATAGACTTGTGTTATTAATAGTGCATGAAGAACGTTTTCATAAGCTACGTGGGGAATGAGTCACTGCAGATGACTCATTCCAATTTGGGGTAGAAAAAGAACATCTGTTTTAGGTGAATGACAATGACAGCCATTCATGTGAAATTTGTGCATTTCTGTTATGGAAAAATGCCCTAAAAAACAACAGAGAGAATCTGTTGCAGCTTTATATCACAGGGAATTCACTACAATGAAATTAAAAACACATAACAACAGTTGAATCCTTTGCTGCTCTTTGCCAGTTATCAGAACAAACAGTGCTACAGTGCACTGTGTCACCTGTGAGCCCTCTGTAAAGCACACTGCTGTTTGCTCTGACCATCCAGCTGTGGAAACATGTCTTTAGCAGTCACAGCTGCCCGGATCACGTTGGACCAGGAGAATCCACGGTCTGCAGCGAACGTAGCGACGTCATATACAAACTCCTGATGGAAGCCCCGCCGTTCGTCAGAGAACTCAGGCCAGGAGAAGTGACAGCTGAGCATCTGCACGCCAGCATCTCTCTAAAATAAAGAGTTATACAGCAGCAACAATATGTCATGTACAAAGAAGTAGCAATTTGCATTTAAAAAAAAAGCTTATTAGATTAAGTCCTGTATTCCAAAGTACTCACCAACACTGTTTTATTGTTAAATTACTGAAGCATTAATAAATAAGCAACATTTTAAAAGCAAAGCTTTAACTCTTCAATCCCATAATTCAGCTGTTAACCTTGTGTACTGCTGGCGTTGCATGATTCATTCATTCTTTTCACACATTATTTTTGCTGATACTGTACAAGTGCGTCATTATAGCTGCTTCTTGTGTTTGGTGTTAAGAGTATTTAGCTCCCTTTATTTTTGTTCTCTCATGTATTGTGCTATATATAGTAGATGCTCATGAAGTATGGAGGATGAAAAATGACTTAAATGTGTTTAAATTAATACATAAATATTTCTATAAATAAATAAATACATTTTGAATTTATTTCTATATTTCCACACATCAGCTTTCATTTGGGCTATTTCTCTAGTTCTACATTTATGTATTTGTTTAGATATTTCTACATTAATTCAAAAAATAATTTATTTGTTTCTACATTTATTATGCACCTCTACATTTACTTATTTCTACATTTATGCAGTTAATTACATTTACTGATTTATTTCTACAGTTTTTGTGTCTACACTCATTGATGCTTTTTTTTTTTTTTTTTTTACATGTATTTGTTTCTGCATTGTTTGATATACTTAATATACTTATACATTCAAGTATTTTTAAAAAATGTTTCCACACTGGGGCTGCAAGGTGGTGCAGTTGGTTAGCACTGTTGTCTTGCAGCAAGAAGGTCGTCAGTTTGCGCCCCAGTAGGGGCACCGGGATCTTTCTGTGTGGAGTTTGCATGTTCTCCCCGTGCAGCGTGGGTTCTCTCCGGGTTCTCCAGCCTCCTCCCACAGGACCAAAAACATGTTGAGGTTAATTGGTGATTCTAAATTGTGAGGATTAAGCGGTGTATAGATAATGGATGGATGGATGTTTCCACACATACTGATGTATTTTTATATTTTTTTTGTTTCTAAATTTAATGTCTTATTTATACCCCTATTTGTCTGTATAATATGTTTGCATTTAGTTTATTTCTGCACGTGTTTATGTATTTATTTTTTACATACATTAACTTATTTATTTACATATTTCCAAGTGTATTTATACTCATTTCCTGTCCTCCATAACAGTATATATGACATTGTGGTTTTCTTACATATGTGAACTATACATTATTTGCTTTGAGGTTGTTTGTTGTTATTATTTGTTATTTTTGCTTGTTTCTACTGCTGTGACACTTAAATTTCTCGACATGGAACCAGTAAAGGTCAATTCTGTGCCACAGCTTTGTAGTTTATATTCATTCATGACCAGTAAAGGAAAGTTAAAGGTTTTTCTCTGTATAAGCTAGCATAAAATGGTTCATATTTAGCATTATGTTCTAGCAGCCGTATGGACTTACTACACTGATCTTTTTTGAGCTAACATAATTGAAATTACACAGATTTAGTTTTTAATCTTTCAGTCCCCCAAAAACAAATCAGACAGTTTTGTGTGCCAAGACGAAATAGGATGCGCTTAATCCACAACACAGTGGAGGACTTAGCTTCGTGCTAACACTCTTTTCCTGCTCGGTTACTTCACTTTTTGGTCGATTACATGTATCTCTGCACCCTATTATAAATCGACTTTGTGTTTGTATCACTTAAATCAAAGCTCTGGGTGCTAACTCGATGCCTGCCTACCTGGAGTCTTGATATCTGTGTCATTTCACTCTCTGTGAGGGAATCCATCCTGGATAAACGACACACGGGCACTTGGTTGCTATTGGAGACGGACGCAGGCGAGTAGGCGGGGCGTGGGTCCCTTTCGACGCGATGACGTATATTTACGTGCGACGTCAAGCGGCTGTTGGAATGAGGATGCAGAGTTCACATTAATCACTGCCAAAATATCAGAATCATATGATGTATTTATATTAGAATATAATAACTATCAGTAACATATTACAGACCTGCAGCTGTTCGCCTGAAGAGTTCAGCTGACACCTGTTGTTCATGGTGGCTGCTTAAATGAACAGTTTATTATTATGGGATGTTTGTAGGCTGAGGGACAGAAGGAGCAGCAAGTCTCTGTTACTGTTGGTGTTGTCAGTGAGTTTGTAACTGATCGTGTAACAGGGCTTATCAGTCCGGGTCCACAGATGGCTCAGGCAGCTTTAATCCTCTTTAGAAAGAATCCCACCCCTCTTCTCTCTTTTCTCCCCCCTCTCTTCTTCTTTTTTCTGCCTCTTCCTTTTGATTTCCACTGTATAAAGCCAAGGAAAGAGAAAACAGGGGTCCCTAGGGAATGTTCCTCGAAGGATCTCTATATTTATTTGTGTGTCATTAGAAGGGAGTAGACCCCGCTACTGAGCCAAGAAAGTGACAGTTGACAAACCGTATCCTGTGATGTGGCATAATTAATCACTAAGGTGTCACAGGCTTTTTGAAAAATCATTCAGTCACGTCATTAAACTTCATTTTATTTGAGTATATAAAGGCCTCAGCAGATGTGAGCTGTCACATAAGATGAAAGGTTTACAGGATTACACATGTGCATTAGACTCTATTAAAATCAGTTAGAAAAACTGTTAGAAACGTGGTTCTGGTGAATATCGTGCACACAGTTTAAAAAAAAAAAAAAAAAAGCCTACTGAAAAGCTAAGCCAGGGCACCAAAGAAGACACACTTAAAAAAAAATGTACTGTAACTTTCAACAACTGTTCAAATGGTAAAAACAAAAACAAAAAAAGCAAATATCTTGCAGATTTGAATAGAATAAAACACTGGAACGTTACAGTCACACATTGTGAAAGAACCAATTGCTATTTTAAAACTACAAATGTGCACATTTTTACAGTTTACTGTCAACATGGAAAATAATACTTTTTCTGTGATTTTACTAGATTTTGTTTTTAGTTTAACAAATCAGGGAAGCTCTTTAGGATAACAGTCAAAAAATTATTTACCATTTTAAACACATTTTTCTTGGCAATAATGGCAAGTATCTGTAAAATTATATGTATATATATATATGAAGACAGATGTCTATAAGAACAAATTACTATTAAAACAATGTCATGCTACACTCAAACACTGTAACAGAACAAACTACTGTTTTTTAAAATCCATATTCTGTGGGCATTAATTATGTATTAATTATGCATTAATTAACAATTAATACATAAATTAATACATTTTCTCTGGGATATTTCTGGATAGTATCCGTGACTTAACAATAAAGGGGACATCTTTAAAATAACAGTAAATCGTTTTTTGTTTGTTTGTTTGTTTGTTTTTAAAATTAAAAATAAAAAGGTTAAAAACTAACCAACTAACGAACTAACTAAATATATATATATAAATAAAGTTAGTCTGCTTTATAGAAAGTTAATTTATGCTTAGTGAGCAACTTATAACTAAGCAAAGAGTGCTTCAGGGCTTTGACAGCTGAATGTAAGGAAAGTATGTTGTCATGTTTTCTTTAACGTCTGTGAATTTGGAAATTTATCCTGCAAATCATGTCTTACTGTTTATTTTTTTCAAAACCTTATTCTGTCAAGCTAGCATTTTTTGTGCCAAACTAAAAACGGAAGACGCTTTATTTTGAAAGGCTACACCATCCTGTTTTGCGCTGAACACCTCTAGCTTGCCGCGTGTGTGAACATGCGCCTCCTCAGATCTCCGCTGTCCGGGAGGCTGAAGCCGCAGCGCCGCGCTGCCCGATGCTGTCTCTGTTCATGTCCGCTCCTGCTCTTGACTGCACCTGGATTTATTACCTCAGTATCAGAACTGTCTGGGTCTATAATCGATTATCGATCTTCTGCCGTTCCACGCGCCCATATAGGTAAGACTGCCCTCTTTTTTTCTTCCTCTTCACACCTGTTGCTTTATAGCCTGTAAACTAACGCAAACCCGTATTTCTACAGTGTTTAGGAGGCGGTGTCCTCGCACTAATGTTACTGTGTTTACAGTGTTTCTTTGTGTGTGATCCAGTTGTGGAGGTGAGTCACACACCTGCTTATAGGATCAGAGACAGGAGGGACTGTACACAGAGGAGTGAGTGGACCATCTAAAGTAGGCCATACATGATATAATCCCTCTTCTATCTTCTAACTGAACCCATCAGACAGACAGAGGGAGCAGAAAAGTGACTTCTATCATTCAGCAGGAAGTGGTGCTGCAGGATGATGGAGTCTCTTCCTCTGCGTTCCTATGAAATACACACAAACTCACAGGTTTCTCGGTGTATCCACAAGGACTATCCATTAGCATCGACTGTTTTTCCACAGACCAGCTGCCTGACGCTTCACTTTGATGCCTGGCTCCTGACAGCACAGGAGCTACTCATCCCTGACTTCTTGTCTACCCAGAATCCTCTGAGGCCCACCTACTCTTCCTCTGTCTCTCATTAAAGCTGTGAAGCAGACACACACTGATGAAACAAGCAGTTACATAAATATCAATTACGCAACAATTTGCTCAGTAGAATATCCCTTTTGTTTGTTTGTTTGTTTTGTTGTTGTGAGTAAATCTCATTCAGCTCGACAACAAGATGAACAGCAGTTGTAGATATGACTCTACTGAATTTGGAAGTTTAACAATTTCAGCTCTGTATTGTTATATATATATTTGATGATGCTACTTAGTGAATTAAAGCTGCTCTAATTATTTTGTGTTACCAGTGGATCATGTGTAATGTAATGGGGTCACCTGTATTGATGAACTCACCTCTAATTATCACACATCAGTGAGTGTTGTAGCATCTTTAAGCTCATTGTTTTGGCTCATCAGCCAAGATGTCAGCTAGTTTGGGCTGCTGCTTAGAGAAGCAGTCGTGGCTAAAAGAGGATAAATTGTACACTGAAACAACGAGGTGGAGCGTTATGCACATGTGAGGACCAAACCTTCACGCCAAGGACCATCACTGGTGATGAGAGTTGGGTTTACAGCTACAATGCAGACAAAGAGGCTTCACAAAGGAAGAGTCTCCAAGTCTGCCGAAGACACATCAGGTCAGAGGCGCCCCAGGAACACCCCGAGGCGTCTGAGGGAGGAAACACAGTTCAAAAGATGATCTGTGGTGCAATTAGGTGCTCCATCATGACACTTTTTTTTTTTTAACAACAAAATCATCACTCTCTACCAACTTGCCAGATTTGGCACAGTGCAAATTCTCCCATCTTCCCCAGAATGCCATTCAAGTTGAAGTTGAGGAGATCCAGCGTTACGGAGAGCACTACAAACGTGGCAGGACCACTGGGAGCAGGATACGAACATACTGTCACATATCATCTACATTTCTGAGGGAAAAAAATCTACCTCCTGCCCCATGACATACATGATGATTAATATATTTTATACTGAATGTAATGAGTCCCCTCATACAGTAGCTCTGGCAAGCTTCATCCTGAGCAGCTTACATGTAAATACTAACATAATTCAGTGATATATAACACTGGCATATATATATATACCAGTACTTTTGATACTTTGACCGTAATTTACTTTTAATACTTTCACCCAAGCAACATTTTCCCTTCTGCATCGTGACATTAGTTTTATTTCGGTAGATGATCTGAATACTGCAACTGAGGAAAACCCTTTTCCACAAGTCATATTCCACCATTAAATCCACAAATATCAGTTTGTCAAACAAACAAAATTGAGACGAGACACAATAATAGTGTTTAGCCTGATTGGGATGATCGACAGACGATGTTTTCACGATCAATTTCCCGGCCGGCGATAATCGTATTTTGCCGTGACACAGTTCAGGAGGAGCAGTTGGTGTTTTAGGTGATTTGTACACAGGAGGCACCCTGCTGCTGGACAGACTGTCTGTAATTACAATCTCCCTCCACCTCCATCAGAGTGTGTGTGTGAGGAAGACACAGACAGGAGGGGGGAACCTCATGTCTCACATTTCAAAGGAAAAACCTCAGTATCCCCTCGCTCTGTCTGCGCAAACACACCTCCATGAAGTGATTTTTTTTGTTTGACTCTCTCCTTCAGCTTATTGTTATTTTGCTCACGTAACTCCCAACAAGCAAATCATCCTCCATGTATTTGCAATTGTTAGTTTGTCTGCTTGTTAAAAAAAAATACCCCCATAATTGCAAATTAACATGTTCCTCTTCTGCTGCTCAGGTGCTGAGTGCACAAGGGCGTCACTTGTCTCATTACCATCTTGGCTTCACCATAGCAACCCCCTCCTTCTGTCACACACACATCTCCACAGGTTCTTAAGCAGGCTTTTCTTTCTATCCTTAGCCTCCTGTCTTCTCTGCTCTCCATCCACCACCCTCCCTCCCTTCCCCCCCTTCCCACTCTTGCGCCTGATTACCGGCTGCCATTTTACCCAGCGAGCCGTGGAACCGGGGGCTCTGCTGTACATCATACGCACACAACTAACTCCTGGTCTGACTCAAACCCGTCAGACCCTGCGTAGATATCCACAGATTTCTCCTCAGTTTTTCCACGTCTCTTTGGATCATGTTTCCTGAATATGTGAGTAAAAGATAAACGGTTGGTAATGAGTGGTAGCCATTGGTTTTGTTCTTTGAAAAAGTGGTTCAAAGTGGTTTTTAGGTGTAAAAATGGGTCTGTAGTTAACATTAGATGATAGTAGCTGGGTGGGAAATTAATCTTTGTTGGTATAACGTGCTAAACTCTGATCTACAGCTGGTAATATAGTACTAGAGAACACTTGCAGTTACCTAGAATATACTGTTAATGCTTCTTGTTGCTAATTTATTGTAAAAAAAAGTGTCTCAACCTGTTGCTGTAATGCTCAGGTAGTGTTTTGTGACGACATCGACTTATTTAGCGTCCTCGAAAACAATCAATTAGTCAATTCTGTGTATTTTTAAAAGCAAAAGTGAGAATTATCTGCCAATTCCAGCTTCTTAAATGTAAAATTCTGCAGCTTTGTTTGTCACATGTGATGTATCTTGGCTATTCTTGATTATAGGACTGTTCCTATACCCCTCACATCATCCCTGGGAATTATTTTACAGTATTTTCTGACATTTTAGGGATGTAATGATTAAATGAGTACAATCATGAGACAAATTACGCATGAAATATTGATAATACAGTCATTTAATGTAACCTTAAATGATTAAGTTGCCTGTTTGGGCCTAAGCGCAGAAATGATTTCAAACTTCAATTCGCAAACTGTTTGGTAGCCATTGCAAATTTATATACAGTTTGGTTAACTTGTGGTTGAATCCTCGAGACAACATAGAGCGATAATTTAGCTGTAAGGCTGTTAAGAAAGACGGAGCTGTGGAGGGATTAAGAGGCAGAGTGTCACGTTGGGAGCGTCTACAGCTAAGAGCAGCAGTTTGGCCTCAAGTCCAGCTACATGGGACTTAAAAGCCTCCTAAGCCTGCTGATGGCGTTCACCTTTTTACAGAGGTTATTGAAAGTCATTACCGTGAACAGTTGAGGGTCACGTTATTAAAGTTGTTTTATTTTGCCAAATATAAGAAGTGATATTTCACTCTGGACGAGAGCCGATCGCTGTTGTCTCTGCTGGTTTTCGGGCCTGTTTATTCCGCAGTCTGTTCTTCTATCTCCTCATATATGTTACATGATTTTTGTATTTTGTTGTACAGTTCAAACTGGGGTTTTATATGTTTTTGGTTTGTTTATATATATATATTTTTTTTTTTTTTTTAACTCCGTCAGCATATATGTGAATATACAATTACACAAATGCCCCCTGAAACCTGCAGGAGTAAAGATAAAACTATTACTTTTGCACGTGACTAAAAGTGAAACCATGCTTATTACACGCCATATATTATGCAAGTTGGTTTATGCTGGCTGTTCTGAAGCAGGATAGAAACGTCTGTTCCAAATAGGATTTCTAGATGTGTGCTAGGCCGCGCCGCTAAAAATAGCCGGTTACAGTTCGCCGTGTCTTTAACATCTATATGGGTGTGCATGTAGCTGCATGTGATAGCGTCAGTTTACAGTAAATTACTGTTTTCTGTTGAAGACTGAAGCAAGTTCATGGGTTTTTCAAGCTCAAATTTAATTAAACACAGAAGAGAGCTTGTGTTTCAGACATTGTGATCGATGTTTTTTAACCTGACAGCTTTCAGGTTTGATTGCAGATGACTTAATGTGATCACAAATAATTGTAAATGACGATAAAACGTTTTGTGACTGTTGACTGAATGACTGAGCCGAATGGAACATGTAACACCCTGACATGTCAGGTAGTCCTGTTAGTGGATGTCCTGTCCTGAATCCTCAATTAAACACCCTGATTACTACTTGAGACCGTGTGACATTTATTCTTTAGATTAAGTGCTGTGTTTTTGTGTGCAATTCCTCAGGCGTATGTGAGATCACAGCATGCATACGGTCCAGTTAGGGATGTGGGACCCCCGGCCCCCATCTAAACATGCCTCGCCGCTCCCCACGCCACCCCCCTCCAGCTCACGCCCCACCCATGTGACCACAGCCACCCCGGCCAAGCGGATCACCTTCTACAGAAGCGGCGACAACCAGTTTGGGGGCGTCAGGATGGCCGTCCACAAGCGAAGCTTCAAATGCTTCGATGCCCTGCTGGACGACCTTTCTCAAAAGGTTAGTGGGATGGAGGGATTTCTTTTGAAGCTCACTGCTTAGGTTGAAGTGTAATGCACTTTTAAGTTTCCTAGCTAGCAACAGCATTTGCTCTGCTGCTCCAATTTTTCATGAAAACACCCCTCTTTCTTTTCAAACTGCCTTTTTCTTGATTTCTGGATTTTTTGACACACTAATGATGGATAATAAGAAAGAGACGGATACATCAGATATGTGTATACAGTGTATATGTGTCCTCATACAGGTGCCCCTGCCGTTTGGCGTGCGGACCGTGACCACACCTCGCGGCACACACACCATCAAACACCTGGAGCAGCTCCAAGATGGCGGCTGCTACCTCTGCTCCGACCGGCGCCACGCTAAGCCAGTAAACATAGAGCTGGCCAGCAAACGGCCAAACATCTGGTACCATCACAGCCGGAGGCCCCAGCGACCTGACACCTCATCCACAACACCGCCCGGACATTTGCATTTGCCTTACAGGCAGAGACGGATCCTGCTGATAAAGAACAGTGAACCGGGGTTGAGGAGGAGCATCGTGCTGAGCAGGAGGTCGACCAGGAGTCTGGGAGCCTTTCTAGACGAGGTGTCGGAGGTGATGCAGTTTCATGTGCGGAAGCTCTACACTGCAGAGGGCCGCAGGGTAAAACATGATTTGTATTTGAATGCGTGCTTACAATGTTGAGTGTGTTCACATTGCGCAGGATGCATAGTTTAGTGAAAACTAATTGTGACACTTTGTGAATTGGTTTCCAGATTGACAACGTACAAAGCCTGATGACTTGTCCTGGTGTGTTGGTGTGTGTCGGCCGGGAAGCCTTCAGTCCAATGCTGGTAAACTTTATTCGGAAGAGCTCAGAGGAAAAACTGCCTGGTCTGGGCAGCAGGTCTCCTGGTCTTGGACCCCGGACTCCTGGAAATGGGGCCCGGTCTCCTATTACTCAAGGAATAAGGTCCCCTCCTCACGGAGCTCAGTCCAGAGCCAGTGAGTACAGCGAAGGACATGAAAGCAAGAAAAACGGTGAGTTGCGTTGCCAAAATGTAAATAGGCACGTTTACATCGATACTGTACAAATCTAAAAGTTGTAAAAAGTGCCAGAAAATAAAAGAAAGTTATTTCAAATTTTTGCCTTTTCTTTTAGTGAACTTTGGTCTGGAAACCAAAAAGAGCATCATCCACCCTCGATCGGATTCTTCAAACCGCTCCACCCGTTTCTCTTTGTCTTCTGAAAAGTCATATGGCAATGGTGTCAGCGCCGGCTCCCAGGCAAGACCGGCGATTACAAACGACGACATTGAAAAGCGTGTTCTGGTCAATAAAGATGGCAGCCTCTCAGTGGAGATGAGGGTACGCTTTCGCCTCCAGAACGACGAGACCATCCAGTGGTCCACGCAAATTAAAAAATCCCCATCTCTGACCAACGAATGTTGTCCTCTGAGCCAAGCCCAGCCCCATTACCTGCAACAGGGCCAATCAGAAAGCTGTTCTGACCCCGATTCTACGTCGTTTGACCCAGAAAGTATGGACTATCCCAGCCAACCTCTGCAGTGTGTGATGGAGACTGAGCATTGCCCCTGTTGCTACCAGAGGCAGGAACAGCAGTACGATTTGTGGAAAAATCCTGTACACAGCCACCACCACCAGCACCCGGTCCCACCCCCACACACATCCAGCCACAGCCACACTATGATGAGACACACACACTCCTCCAGCTCTTCCTCGTCATGCAACTCCAGAAGGGTGGTGCGCTGCCGAGCACGAGTCTCCAACCGCGACTCCGGTTCAGAGCAGAGCCAGCTGGTCCAGGAGGAGATGTGTGTGACGGAGCAGGTTGAGCACACTGTAGAGGTGGAGCAGAACGGAGGCACCCACATCGAGGTCTGCAAGGTGAGCCGGTGCTGCAGTCAGAGTGAAGTGGTCGCCGTGGATAGCAACATTCGGCCAATCAGCAGAGAGGACGAGGGGGAGCGTCCATTCTCAGCAGTAAGCAGCTCCTCACATGTGCTTCAAGCGCTGAAAGAGGACCAGGATGATGAGGATGACGATCTGCCCCCCAGCACTTCTAATTGCTGCCACAGCAATGAACCGCCCCGATCCCCAGCAAGCAACGTCTCGGCCAATTCGACTGAACACAAGGGAAAAGAGAGAGGCAGCAGGGCAGTATCTGCGTCCTCCTGTAACTGTGGAGCAGCCAGTCCTCGCTCAGCAGCTGGAGCAGATGAGATGGATCGAGTGCCGAGCTCTGCGTCTAAAGCAAGCGAAGCCAAGATCCCAAAATCAGATGAAGACGGGGCAGCTGATGATGAGGATGAAGAGATAAAGAGGGCGGTCAGTGGCTTGTCTGGTCACACAGGAGTTTCAGCAAGCTCCCAGAAGTCAGGGGCATCCAGCGTGTGCTCAAATTGTGGGGGCTGCAAACGTGGGGTCAACGCTGAATCCAACAGCAGGGCATCACAGAGGTCCAGTCGCTCCAACAGAGCCTCTCCGAACCCCGCCTCACCTCTGCCCAGCCGAGAGACTGCCAACAACACCAGTGAGGATGCTGGGTCAGATGTTTCAACACAATCCAACAAGACCAACCTCACCAATCACGGGCGCCTCTCTGCCATATCAAACGTCATGGAAGGCAGACAATCCAGACCTGTCTCCAGAACATCCAGTCCTGAGTCAACAGAAAAAGAAGAAGAAAGGCCTCCAAGTGCCACCTCAGCCACAAGCCACAGATCCAATAAATCAAACAACTCTGGTGTTGCAGCAGAAAAAGAGGAGGAGAGAAGCCCCAGCGCGGTGTCGGCTCAGTCCAACCTGTCTGCCAAGTCAGGCAAGTCTCACAAATGCACATCTGAAGCTCCTGACATCAGTTCAAGAGAGGAAGCAGAGGGAGGGAACACTGCAGAAAGAGCAGTCAGCTCTTTGTCTGCCAAATCCGGTGCTTCAGCTAAGACTGGTGCTTCAGTCAAGTCTCATAAGTCCAGCTGTCAGTCAAGCACGAAAGCTGCATCTCCGACTGACAACACAGCTGTGGCAGAGGATGACACTAACAAAAGAGCTCCCAGTAGCCTCTCCGTTAAGTCAAATGTTTCTGCCAAATCAGGAAAGGTTGAAAGACCTGATAGTGTCGTATCAGCTAAATCAGCTAAATCGAATGTTTCAGGAAAGTCTGCCACATCTAACAAGTCTACTTGCAGTCATTGTGCAAAAGCTGCATCTCCAGGTGGTAAGGCAGCTGATGAACCCATAACAGAGGAAACTGAAAAAGGAGAAGAAGCAGAGGAAAGACCAACGAGTGCAATATCAGCAAAGTCCAATCTGTCTGCCAAGTCTAATAAATCCCAGAAGTCAGCAAAAGCTTCAGAAAGGTCACTTTCTCCCAGGTCAGAAGGTGGCCAAGATGGGGAGGTAAGGGCGACAAGTCAAATGTCTGGTGGTTCAGTTAAATCAAACAAATCTGCTAAGTCTACAAAATCATCCAACTCTAAGTGTAATGGCAATGAAATAGCAGCATCTCCGAGTTTAAAGGTAACAGAGGAGGTTGAGGGAAACAGGCCAGAAAGTATAATGTCAGCGAAATCGGAAAAGGAGGAGAGGGCAGCCAGCGCCAGGTCCTCCAGATCTCATAAATGTAACTGTAATGGAAACACAGGAGCAAGTCCTGAAATAGGAGATGGCGATAAAGCGGAGGAGCGGGCTGCCAGTGCTTTATCAGGGAAATCAGCTTCCTCTGCAAAGTCTCACAAAGCCCCCAGCGCCATGTCAGGGAGATCACACATCTCTGCCAAGTCATCCAAGTCCCAGAGGTCCAACCACACCGCAGCATCTCCAAATCCAAATGACAGTGATGAAAATCAAGAGCGGGTGGCAAGTGCCATGTCTGTAAAGACAAAGTCTTCAGTGAAGTCCGGTACTTCTCACAAGAATCTCACAAATCCAAATGTCGTCACAATTAAAACACCAGAAGAGGCTGATGAGGAGGGAGATGAGACAAAAGAGAGAGCACCGAGTGCAGCGTCAGGAAAATCATCTGCTTCATCACACAAGTCGAATCATAAAGGAACGGCCAATATTGCTGTTATTGAAACAGCAGATGGAGATGAGGAGACAGTGGATGATGAACCACCAAAAAGTAAATCACCCGAACTCTCCCATGGCCAAACACTCTCACCCCGGAGAACACCTTCACCTCGGACCCACTCACCCAAATCTCCAGCTGCATCCCACAAAAGTTCTAAGACTCCTGTGCAACAGCTGTTACCGGGCCCCGGTGCTAGAGAGTCAAGAGGGCCCAGTGCCTTGTCAGTTCACTCCACAGTCTCAGCTAAATCTGGCAGATCCAAATGTCACTGTGGAGCAAACAAAGAAAAGGAGGGAGAGGACAAGGAGGCTGAGAAAACCAAAGAGAACGAGGATGGGAAAAGTGAAGGAGCTTCAGGACGAGAATCAAGGGGCACAGAGCAACCGCTGAGTCGAAACTCATCAGGATCCGTCTCTCTGGGGCTGCCGGAAGACCAGGAAACAGCCGACTCAGACAGCGGTAAGTCCAGCGTTTCTGTTAGCAGAAACACTGATAGTGAAGTTCAGGGCCAAGTGAAGACAGCAACACCTGATGTCCCCAAAAGCCCAAAGGAAGACGGGGATAGAACAGGTTCCACCGTGTCACAGAAGTCGAATGGTAATAGCAGAAAAAGCGCCTCATCTCACAATCCTCCAGCGGTTGACATCCCTACTATTGAAACGCCAGGAGGGGGTGAAGAAGAAGGTGAAGAAGGTGGGGAGCAAAACACAGAAAGAACAGCCAGTGCAGTTTCAGTCAAAAGCAGCAGATCTCAAAAGTCTTGTTGTAACTGTAGCGGCAAGACAGCGGCTCAGACACTTACTAGCAAGTCTAAAGAGAAACATGCTAATGCAACTAAAGCTGGAAGTGACGCTGAAACACAAAGTGTAAAGTCGGTTTCAACAACAAACGCCAGCAATCTGGATGCCCCGAATAAAAGGAACTCATCTGCAATGTCATCAGCGAGTGCTAAAGTTCGGAGCAAATCCCCTGCAAGTGCCAGCGCAAAGAATTCCAATGTGGTAAAAATAACTGCTGCAGATTCAGCAAGTAATGACAATGAAACCCAGAACATCAGTAGACCAGCGAGTGAAGCCAAAGGAAAGGAAGATGTTGTTGAAAACAACAAGGCAGCCAGCGTCCGCTCCAAGAGTCCCTGTAGCCTCAGGCCTGAGTCAGCAGCTTCAGCTCCATCAGAGTCCAAAATAAAAGCCTCAAAGCAGAGTAAAGAAAGCGACAACGGGAGTGTAAAGATGAAAGAAGCCCCTATCAAATCCTCAAGCCCCTGCCCCCTACATGGCTCCAGACCGGGCAGCAAAGTGGAGACATGTAGTGAAAGCACTCTGTCTCAACCTCTGTCTGCTGCTGACCTGCTGAAGGAAACCATGGCTGCTGCACGCCCACACAGCCAGCAGTCCAAAGTCAGCAAAGTCAGCGACAAGTCCAGGAGCAAGAAAAGTGGGAAGAGTCACAGAAGCAGAAACCTAAAGGATCAGGAGGCATTGCTGGAACTGACGCCTGCCTGTCTGCCCAACGCATCCCCTAATGAGGTCGTTAGCGACTGGCTGCAGAGCATTCCTGCTAACATGCTCGCGATGGGCGATGAATTCAACGAGGAAGAGGACGAGCCGAGGGTGACGGAGACGCCCGCGGATGATGTAGCAAAGGAGGAGAGTCCTGAGGATGAGAAAGTGGACAAAGAGGGCAGCGTTGGCCCTGAGGAGGAAGACAAGAACGAGGATGAAGCTAAATGTGGTGCAGCACAGAAGGAGGAGAGTCCAGATGCAGCTCCGGGTGATGCGCAGGAGACTTCCTGTCACAGCAACGCTTTGCTGTTGAGCAGTGAGCCTCTGCCCAAGAACTGGCATTCTTCTGCAGCCGTGATGAAAGTCCTTCTGAGTTCTTCTCTTGGTCGATGTCGGAGCTTGCCTGAGGTAAGCCAGATTCTTTCAGTGACAATGAAATAAGTTCTATTTTATATTACACATATGATGATTTTCAAGCAAATAAATCCTAATCAAATTTAAATTATACTCGCCAATCAATCAGTCAGTCAAGCTGTCTCTTGATGGGAAAGACGTAACGAACAGAAAATACATACATAACCACATGAACAAAAGCACACAAAGCACCAGAGGAATCATTAAATTGAGTTACAAGTAAAAGTTTAAAACTGGCCAGTGGGAAAAGACATCTATTTGAGCATAATTTCTGTATGTAATTTGTATCCTTTGAACATTTTCTGTCTTGTGTAGGTGTCGCCGGTTTACGGTCGTAGACTGAGCACATCAGCCAGGGGGCTTTTGGACTGTTTGGCTCAGCTCCAGCTAATTGAGCCTGCAGTTAGCCCTGCAGACCAAAACAAGGCCCGCAACCAGCAGTATGAGGACATTATGGCCATCCTTCACTCCCTCTGGCTCACTGAACCCAGAGACATTGACCCCAAGGATGGTAAACCAGAGCAAGTGACGCCACCGAGGTCCTCGTCTGGGGTGGATATGAGCAGTGGCTCTGGCGGATCAGGGAAAGACAATGGAAATCAAGGAGGAGACGAAACACCTCCAAAAGAGACGGAATCTCTCCATGGGGATGAGGCCGTGGAGAAGGCCGGAGAAGAGGTCGACACAGCAGAGGATTCGGTGCAGTGTGAAGAACAAAGTGCAGCTCCTCAAAGTCTAGACAGCCCAAAAGCCACTGAAAACCCTTCGTCATCGGACAAGAGCTCTGGAAACGAGGGCTCCAAATCCCCCACTGACAACGAGCGAGAGACACTTGAAGGCTCGAGCTCAGGCACTCCCCCGACCGTCCTGAGGGCACCGTTGGCCAAAAGACTCTCCCAAGACCCCGATCCGGTGTGGGTACTACACCTCCTGAAGAAGCTGGAGAAACAGTTCATGAACCACTACATTACTGCCATGGCCGAGTTCAAAGTGCGCTGGGACCTGGACGACAGCCTCATCCTGGACACCATGATCTCTGAGCTGAAGGACGAGGTGAGCCGACGCATCCAGAGCAGCATCGAGCGAGAGATGAGGAAGATTCAGGGTCGAGCTGGGAGAGGAGGGAGGTCGCCGAGGCCGCCGCAAGGAGCAAACCTCTCCAGGGAGTCCACCATGACAGAGAAGAGGCGTCGAATGCTGAAGGTAATTCAACTACCAATCCTCTTGACGTGATATTGCTGCTAAATGGTGTGAAACTGATAATGATTTATTTTTGTTTCAGGTCATGAAGAACCAGTCAGTGAAAACGGCTGATTCTATCAGCGATGGAGAGATGACGGGCGACTTCAGCGACCAGCGAAGCGATGACGAGTACTGCCCCTGCGACGCTTGTGTACGCAAGAAAATGGCCGCTCGGCCTTTCAAAATGAACCCGCTGGCGGCCGAAGCACCTGTGATGATGGAGTTTGACCTCCTCAAGATCCTTCAGCTGAAGAAAAGCCCGGCGCCTGCACCTGTGAACACACCACAACCGGCGGAGGAGGAAGAGGAAAGTGACAGCGTGACTGTGGAAGAGGAGGAGAGGAGTTTAGGGGTAGTCGAAGAGGAGGAGGAGGAGGAGGAGGAGGAGGAAGATGAAACCAAGGAGGATATTAAAGCTGATGTTGTTTTAGAGGAGACGATTGCAGAGGAAGATGAGGAGGCAGAACAGGAAAAAGATGAGGATGAGGCAAAAGAAGAGGAGGAGACGGGAGCTGAACAAGACGAAAAGGAGGAAAATGTTGATGAGGAGGAGGAGGAGGAAGAAGAGGGCCAAACAGGTGATGAGGAAGCTGGGGAAGATGAGACGTCAGAAAATGGAGAGGAGGAGGAGGAAGAGGGAGAATGCCAGTGTCAGTGTGCTAAAAATGAGGAGGAGAGCGATAAAGAAGAAGAGGGAGAGGCAGCAGAGGAAACAAGTGTCAACACGGATGATGAAAAGAGAGGAGAGGAGGAAGAGGGGGGGGATGCAGAGGATGAAGGAGAGGATGAAACAGGGGAGGACGAGAAAGAGACGGGAACTGGCGAAGAGGAGAGCGACAAGGAGACAGTGAGAGAGATAACAGCAGGCGGAGGAGACGTAACGGAAAATGGAGAAGGTGAGGAAGAGGAGGAGGAGGAGGAGGAGGCGTCTGAATCTAAGCCTGAAGAAGAGGAAGAAACAAGTGGCAGGGAAAGCGAGGAACAGGAAGCACCGGGGGAAACGGAGGACGACGACGCTGCAGCAAATGAAGAATCAGATCAGGTGGAAGAGTTGTTGGAGGAAAATGTCAGCGGGTCGGCGGAGGACGGAGGTGACGGGGAGGAGGGCACAGCGGAGGAGGAGAGAACCTCGTCACAGGTAAACATGAACCACGTGCAGAAGAACGTTTGTTGGTTATTCAGAAGTTTTTCTTAGAAAGATAAAAAAAAAAAACCTGAGATTTGATATACATAACTATGGAACTCAAACTTAGCGGACAATTGCAGTTTCTCTTTTAGTTTTTCCTATCCACTCACTCACTGTTTACTATTAGTATTATAAAAAAATGGGACATAGCAACATTATTAAAAAGAACAAACATGTTTACAGACTCAATGTTGACCTTCCACAGTTTGACAAACACCCACGTTTTTTAGGAACATTTTATTTTTATTTTTCTAAATTTAAAAATAGTATGTAAACGATTGTTCAAGCTTTTTTTTTAAACACATAATAGTATTGTTGTAAATGCAAAGAAGGACATTCTTTTGTATTTTTAAAAATATAGTAGCTTACAACAGCAGCTTTATTGATTTGTGTCAACAATTGAGGGCATTTAATTTATTCAGAATCAAAATTCAAACTTCAATGTCTGCCATTCTGAACGATTTTAAATGAGATTACATTTAGATGTTGTTGTTTTTTTTTAGTATTTTTTGTCTTTTTATTTATTTTTTACATTTTCCTATTTCAGTCTTGTAACAGGAATTCAACATAACATTGAGATATTTATAAAATGTTTCATTTAAACTATGATAACATTTGTTTTTTTTTGTGGATTGTTGCCTGTTCCAGCACAGCTATTCTTTTAAATGTTTTAAATTATTTTATGGCGCCGTGCATGGACACAGTGGTCCCTTTGGGAGGCAGCGACAGTCAACGTTTAGTGTCTTATCCCAGACGTGCATTCCGCAAAACTTGCTGGTTGAATAATCTTATCTTGCCTGTACTACTGTGTATGTACAGCAAACTTTATTTGATTTGAAATGTATATTTTTCTATTAATATATTGTGGGGGACATTTTGAGTGTATTTGCAAATCGGGGTTCGCTGTGTGTCCTCCCCCACGTATGTATTGTAATGACAGCCCTGAATAACACACTAAATCATAACATATCTTTACATCTTATATCAATGTATGTTTTTTAATTTAATGATACACTTTTTGACAAGGATAGTATTATCCTACTGATAGACAATCATCAAAACTACCTAAATAGCCTGACTTTTTACAGTCATTGTATTCACTCATTCAAGTCGATGTTGCACTAATAGACAAAGCTATTATAACTATGAACTACCTGTTTCTCCACAGTACATGTTCTTTAAAGTAAAATATAATCTAAATTAAATCTCAGTAAAGTCATCAGGACACATCAATGCTGCTTCCTGTGTAAATATTTTCTGGCACTTTATCTTAAAGCACCACTGAACATGACTGCTGGGTTAAAGTACCTGTACCTGCTGTACCTTAAAGCAGAATCTGACCTACTGCAGCCTCAACACTAATTCTAAGCCTGTGGGAAAAGATAATCTGGCCATCCAATTAGACAGCCTTAACAAATCTGTTTTGTTTGGCAGCAACAGAATGCTTCCTCTGATGTTCGTCTGCTTTTATTGTCAGGCATCAACTGTTTCATCAAAAGCTGTTTTCAACAGGTTCTCGCCCTTTTAATCAACGTGTTCTCACCTCAGAGATTTAACCAGCTGAGCTTCAGTTGTATTCAGTTTTTACTGCAGCCCTCCTGCACTGATAAAGTGAAACTAATTTTAATAGCACTCATTAGTTTTGTCTTGCTATGCGACTAACTTGTAGCTGTAAATTACTGACTTTGCTGCCTCATTAGTGCCCAATTTAGTTAATTACAACTGCTCGGAACTAATTTACCGTTATCTTGTTTAACCCTAAGGGCCAGGGAGTCACTCCGACTGTCTGTGTGACCGAGGGAGAGGAAGCCGACGCCGAAGACTCAGACATCGACAGCAAACGTCCGAGTGACGCCGGCACTGACAAATCAGGACACGAGGAGGAGAAAGACGGCGGCGAAGACGAAGGTGAGGAGGAGGCGGCGGAGGGCGATGCCGTCGAGGAGCTCAAGCCTGAGGAGAGCAGAGACAAAGGGGAGGATGGTTCTCTTCTGCATCAGTTCACCAGGACCTCTGTGGAGTCCCAGCCCGGCTCGCTGGAGGACATCGATTCAACCCCGAACCCTGTGGACTCCATAGAGGTGCCCAAAGTGGCATCTACCGGCGGGGGGACGGGAAACAGGAGGAGCCGCTCGCCTGCCAGGGTCAAACGCCGCAAACCTAAAGAGGGGGATGACGAGCTGGATAACTTTTAACTCACACGAGGACTCCTCAGGGTGCTTGGAAAGACTATACGTCAGGTGAACTTAGTGAACCTAAGGTCAGAAACTCTGGAAACCTGCACTGGTCCCAGTCTGTAGTTTTGAATACTCTTGAACACTTGAAGCACTTTATCGTGGTGTAGGAGGAGTCACAGTGCTCTACATTACAGCAGAAATGCCCCGTGACTGTAGAAACCTGAAACTTGAAACCACCTTATCCTGTGTGAATTACATTTGTAATGGTTATTTGTATATTTTTGAAGCTAACTGTAATTTTAAAGGCATATGTCAATATATTTTTGAAACTTTTGGCACCTATGGGTGAATTACGTGAACTCAGTTTTGTTTTCTGTGGATCACAGGTGTAATGTTTTATCGAATCATATAGCCAATAATATACCAAGTACCTCGAAGACATGTTAGACGTGACTGTTTCGGTAGACAGAACCAGTGTATGAATACGTGGTTTATCAGTTCTGTGTTTAGTTTTTTTGGACTTGTCTCATCAAGTCAGTGCTGGTTTCTCAGGGGTCTGGACGGCCAGCTTGCTTTTAGAAAGGTCATCTCCTAGCTATTACTTAACGACCAGCTTAAATCTGTAGCCTGTTAAGAAGTCCTCTGTTTAAACATACACGAGCTGTAGGCCGTTATAAATAGGCTTGTTCGCTTTCTCGCTGAGAGATCGCCGTGAAGATTGACACCACTCTCATGTCTGTGTGCTAAATGTGAAGCCGCAGTCAGAAAACTGCATCCACGACTCTAGAGCTAATTAACTAATGAGAAAAAACACTGTAGGAGTTCAGTTTTAAAGGGAGTTTTGTGCCATGTATCTTTACTTTCATTTGTCTTATCGTCTGCCAACTGCTGTAAAATGAAGCACAAATCTAACCCTGTGTGGTGCTTCAAATGGGCAGCAGCAGCTACTTTCCATCTATCTTATTATTCATATTAATAGAAATAATGACAAATAAAGCTAGTCAGTTCTGGCAATGAAAACCTGCATATTTAACGTACAAACATGAGAAGTGGTAATTTTCTTGTGTGATTTTCAGCTAGAAAGTGAACAAGATATTACCCAAAATATGAGTTACTTATAAATTACTTTGACATAAAATGTATTCTATTCCAACTACCAAGCTATGTTTTAGTAACATATTATCTTTAAATTCTTGACATTCAGGGTGTGTTTTACCTATAAACTTGTGTAAACTATTGACAACTATTTCCTCATTATGTATAAGTAGTTCTCCTACTCTAATCATACTGTTTATGCATTTCTTTTCCCAGGAAACTATTTCAGACATTTGCACAATGTGACACTGAGCATATCTGCAGGAAACGTCAGGAGGCGACGGTCTGAACTTCAGGTTGACGTAAATCTTTCTCTGCTGCTTCTTTAAGAGCTTTTCTTAGGCGCGTGTTACATGCTGTATATTCAGGTGGGGTTTGCATAACCGGCCATGTGTGTGGAACAACAGCGTGAAGTGTGTTACTGATGCCTTACTGTATCCATGGTTTTATGAAGGTAGACAGAAGCAGGAGGGGAAATCACGGTTAAGTCTTTTCTCTGTCAGTGGCTCTCCGGGAGAATCACAGAGCCTGTTAAAGAAGCTGGAATGGATCAAAGCTGCTCTTTCAAATGCTGGAAATCATACTTTTTTAAGGCCCCTCGTGGAGTATTTTCTGACATTTAATCTGAACAAAGCTGAGCTACACTCCAGACTTACTCCCCAACTGTTTTAGAGCAGAGATGCTCTGCAAATGTTAGAATGTATTCAGGACAGTGAGTCTGAGTTCATCTCTTACTGCTCAGCTTCACAAAAGCCTCCTATTTGTAGTATCAAGAGGGTGTGTGTGCCTATGCTGCTATTGGTCCGTTTGGCTGTCCGTTAATCTGTCATCACCACATGAACATCATGTACCTAGAACAAATGGATATATGAATGTAATAATAATGACATAAATAAAATAAATGCACAGGATGGCGATTCTCCTATTATTATGGGGGTTCATTCTTGATGATTTGGCTCAGGTATTACTTCACACTGGTGTAGTATCTATCCTAAAACTCTAAACTAGCTTCATTTTGACAATTCACCAGTGTTTGTTGGTGCTGGGACTCTTGTTCAGTTGAGCCACCAAAACACTTTAAACCTAAAAGCCTCCAGGTTTGAAAAGAGAAGCAGATGTGTAAGTGTTTTAAACCTCTATTCTTCTTTTAATAGCCAGAAGGGGGCGACTCCTCTGGTTGCAGGAAGAAGTCTTATTGGATAGAAGTCTATGAGAAAATGATCCGACTTGTCACTTGATTAATTATGTCAGTAAATAGTTTCCTTATGAGTTTATGGCTTCAGTCACTAGTTTTAACGTTCTTCCAATTAAGCATGATGCTCATTCTGTATTTTATGGTCTAATTAAAAAAAGAAAAGCATTCAAAAGCAGAGTATGTTTTAGGGCAGGGCTACCTTGTGATTGACAAGTTGCTATTTTATGGGCATGCATAGTGTTGTTGAGTTCTGGGTCAGATTCAACCATTGTTTATTATGTCCAGTTTTAAAAACTAAGGCCAAATTCCAAACACTTTAAAACATTCGTGTCGGTGGCTACACAAAAAGGCTTAGTCCAATGGAGTTTATGAGATTTACAGGAATAGTTTTGAAGGATATGCTTATCACCACTCCAATGTGTGCATTAACTATGTAGCAAGGGTTCGCGGGCTATTAGCTTAGCTTAGCATAGGATCTGACAGAAAGAAAGCTAACATGGCTCACCATCTACCAGCACCTCTAATGCTGTGGTTCAGAGGAAAACCCTTATTCTGACTTTTTATCCCTCACAAGTACCTGCTTTGCTTGTGTGACACATATGTTTCTGTCCACAGCTCTGTCGTCTCTACGACTTCTGTGATTTAGACGTGCAAGATACAAGAGGAATCTAAATTCCAGGTCATTTCTGTAAGCTAAGCTAATCGCCCGCTGGCTTTAGAGTCTCATAATTAGATATGAATGTGTGCCAGTCATCGAGGTTCTTCCTTCCTCTAATCTGTCCTGCAGGTGTTGAATGACATCAAATCACATCAGCATTGGCAGGCCGACTTGACATACTTTTTTTTTAAAAATTGGAGCACCAGATGCTTCGTGTTAAATCATTCTAAAAAGTCAGTATACTAAACTGACAATCAAACATACAGTGACAGTGCTTGTATTCGTCTCTAGGTGGCAACCAGCACCCACTTTATCACACATACAGTTGAAGAGCCGAGCATTATGTGCTAATGCTTTCTGATCCAGACCTGATGTGCACTTTACCTTCCTGGTTTTGCCGTTGCTCTGTACCTCCCTACTGTGTCTGGCTCTGCTCCAAAGGTGCTTCCAAAGCTGCTCAACTGCTCTCAAGATACACACACACGTCGCACTAATCCAGTACCTGTGAGTGTGTTTCTGTGTGTGCACTGAGCCACGCAGGGACACGGGGATTGAGGTTGACTTACATCACGTGGGTAGATGGGGATGAAGCTTTTACCTCCACAAAACTGTTACAGAACACAGGGTGAAAACGTCAGCGAAACATCACCTCAGTATCAGTGTTGGGCTTTTTAATGTCATTCAGTTTTACAGTAGTGTAGTTCTGAGTCAGTTCTAACTCATGAAACTTTTTCAAGGTTTAAGTCTGCCCCCTTGGGTTATAACATGGTTTCGCATTCAAGAAAGGGTTTAAATCTGATATTAGTTTATAATCTAAATAAGAACAGATAAAGAAGAACTCTGTATCATTTTTACTCTACACACAGTAGAAATCAGTTCATCTGAGACAATAAAGCTGACTAATGACCTAATAAGCAAGGACTGACTCAAGACATGACTCTACTGTATTTGTGGAGACTCAGCCTGACTTTGAGGTCAGTTACGACAGCAACGCCTCCACAGCCTCCCTAACGATTGGCTGCCGCTCCAAACGAGACTCCGCCTCGTCGAGAGAGCAACCAGTCAGCAAACAGACCAAAGCCAGAGGGACCACCTGCACAGAGAGAAGATATGATACAACCAGCTTCCAGCTCCTTAGGTCATATTGTTATGTGCTTCCCCGTTTCCGTACCTTGGTCCTGGTTGCGGCAGTGCACGTGTGCGTGATGACGTCAGAGGATGTAATGTCCAGAGTCAGCTCGTCCACTTGGTAGATGGCCTTCAAAAGAGCTTCTTCACATTGTGACTCCGGTTGACTGGATAACTTCTGGAAGGAGCAAAACTGAACTGACCACAAAAGTCATTTGTTGCTGTCGGTAAATATAGTTTAAGCTGCGTACCACCACTACTTAACAAGAAGCAGTGATGGATTACGTTGCTGCTTCAGTCATTCACTCACTCACTCACAGCTTCTTTCAAACATATCACCCACAGTGACGGAGAGAAAAGTACAATATTGCACTAATACAACACTAAATCAAAACTAAAAGCAGCTGATCAAACCGATAATCAAATAACTAATATCTAATTTTTGTATGAGTTCCTAAAAACTGAAAATTCTGTCCATGTGTGATCAGAATTGAACTACAATTAAAGTGAAAATATCCCAACAGCTTTGTTAGTTAGCTAATGAAGTTACAGTTGTTGTTCCATGTGTGTGTAAATCTCTCTCTTTGGAGATGCTGCCGCTGCTTGACGCTGCAGGTTTTCAATAAACTGAGAGGAAAAACTCCTAAAAACAAGCAACAAACTGAACTTTAGCTGTTAATGTTCCAATGTATTGGTGAGTGTCAATAATCTGGTCTGTTTGTGGACGATTCAGTTTGTAACAGATGTAAAATTGTCAGACAAAGGGGATGAGGAAGGTGGTTTGTGATTTTGGAACACAAATTGTATCTTTTGCTCCGAGGCTGACAAAAATGTCCATCTATAAATTACTTTATCCAGCTTAAAGTAGCCTGTGTTGTGTGTGCCTCCCTATTATTGTGATGATATACAGGTCAGACTTGTGCCACGTTGAAAGTGATGCTGTTGACATGTTACTAAGTTTGATCTGGTGACATTTCTGTTGCAGCCTTTATGGAAAAGTGACATGAAACGTCGATTTCTGATGCCAGCAGATAAACAGAAAGAAGCACATGTGTGAAAGGGACTCTATTGTGAATTGTCAAGGACAGGGAGCAGGGAGTATGACTGTATGTGCAAAACAAAGCATGTACTGTAAAGCCTCTTGTATCTCCAGATGGAGTTGTGAAGTGAAGAAGTTTGAAAATGAGAAAGTGGAAGAAGGTGCAGCTCTTTCTAGCACCGAAATGTCCGACTGAACTTTCTGTGGTTGCATTGTGGGTGATGTAGGTGCTGGGTTTTAACAAGAAAGAGGAATGCAAGGAAAAATAAAAGATTGTGTTGCATCAATTTTGATCCTTATTTTCTAAACTGTTCATTATGATAAAAGGTTAAACAAAGACATATCGAAACACAACCAAGCACATCTTCTTCCAAGGGCATGTTGTGAATATGATAAGAAAAAAGTCTTCCATGAAAAATGAAAAGAAAAGAATCACACAGGCACCCACAAACAGGAGTTTCACTGGCAAAACAACCCCTATCATCATCAGTGTTTCAATTCAGGAGAAGCTACTCAGTGAGTATATCTAAACTTAACAAGGTTAAACTGGAATTTATATTCTGTCTGCAGTTGAATTGTATATACCTGGAGTAAACGTGTGGCTCTACGATACAGTTTGCTGTTGGTGACCTGCACGTCGATCATGTAGTTCTGGTATATCTTCCCCTTTAAGACATGAGCTCCGGTGCTCACAGCGTTCAGCACCAGCTTAGTGGACAGCTCCCACTGCTGAGAGAGAGAAGCAATTGATTTTCTTTCCCCCTGCAGTTATATAAGCTCCTCTGGGAGGAAACATGAAAAAAACAACATTAAAAATATAACCTTTCACCCAAAATGAGACCGACAAAGCACAAGAAATAACTAAAAAAAAAAACAATAAAAAGGGAATAATTCTTTTTGGATTTAACCACTCGGACGCTCCTTCTGTCCATTTGTCTGCAAAACGCTGTGTGGAAAGAGGGTGGCAGACCAAGAATAAGGGAGTAAATGAGGCAAAAACAGTTATTCATCATGCTCCAGTGAGTCATAGAAGTGATGCGACTGTAGCGTACCATGTGAAGCGAGCTCGCTGAAACAGATGCTCCCTGAAGCCAAGCAGTCTTTAGTGTAGATAAACACAGCCGATTGATGTGGTCCTGCAAGAAAAGAT